GCAGATTATATTTTCAAGAAACATCATTCTCAGGAAATATAAATGGCTCTTAAAGATATGAAAAGATGCATACTATCATATAAGTATATTTTCCCATCCTCCACAGTAAAGGTGAAGGATTTGGTTTGGTTTTTGTGTGAGTGGTGTGTTTTTTAATCTTGGCAAGAGTGGGGAAGTAAACATTCTTATGTATTGCCTGGTGTGAATACAAACTTACAAATCCTTGCGGAGGTAATCTTGGCAATTCTAACCCCAAGAATTTCTTAGCACTGTCTTCATGTGTATGCAGAATGATGTACAAAAAATTTTGTTAAACATTGTAATAATCAGCTTATAAACATGCTGTTCATAATACTCAGTAAAGGTGGTATAATAAATTACATTCAGCTGCTAAAAACCTTATATGAAAATACAATAGAGTTAAAAATATACATGTAAGAAAAAACAAAACAAAACAAAACAAAAAACCCCTGACAGGTAGGGCATGAGGTGAGCATATTTTAATTAGTATGACATATAAATTACATCCAAGAATGTGTTAAATTAATCCCACCACTTAAAGTAGTTTCCTTATTATAAAGTTAAAATATATACTAATTTTATGGAATTTGAGAAATCAAGAAAGAGAACTGGAAAAAAAAAGGCCTACAGTCTTTCTGGCCTAAAATAAACACTGTTAATATTCTGATAAATTTCTTAGTCTTGTTCTTTATAGGATTGATTTCCCCCTGTAAATTCTAGATACAACTTTGCATCTTTTAAAAAGTTTAATATTATAAAACATATTGTCATATTACATTACTCAAAGTATTCCATCAAATGACTATACTATAAGCTACTTAACCATTTCCTTAATGTAAGGAATTTAGGTAGTTCTCAAGTTTCTCATTATTATAAACAGTTTCAAGGTGAGCTTTTTAATATATATTTCTCCCTTCTCTACAATTCATATTGTTTTCTTATGACAGATTCCCAGAAAAGGAATTCTGGTGCCTGTTGTTAAATTGTCTTTTAAAGGGGTTTTACTAGTTTATAATCCTTCTCATCGTCTATCAAGGGTAACTTTTTTATTATATTCTGTGTAATCTGGAATACTACAGTCTTTATAGTCTTTATTGTCTTGACAGATAAAATAGATTATACTACTGTTCTAAGTTATACTTCCTCTTCCCAAGTGCTAAAAGGCCTTACCCATGGTAGGTGAGGACTTTACCACTGAGCTACACTTTGAGATGCTTTTGTATTTTTTTTTTTTTAAAGTGGTAGTGGGGACTGAACCCAGGGCTTTCACAGAGAACAACATTTCCAGCTCTCAATCTGGAGACAAAGCCTCAGTAAAATTACCCAGGCTGGGCTGAACTGAAGTCCTCCTGCCTCAGACTCCCAGAGTGCTGGGGTTATGCGCAAGCATCACCATTCCTGGCTAAATTAGTACTTACTATTTTTATGTTTTGTAGTAACCTTTTTTGTAAATTGCCAGTTTACATTTCTATTTATTTTTTGGGTGTTCTTGGAAATTTCACTGAATTCTTTGCATGTTAAGAATAATACTGTACTATGTTATGCTTAAAGTATTTTTTCCTCCTATTTTAACTGTTCATTTTTCTATAGTTAATATTATCTATTTTTCCCTTTGTGGTATCTTTTATTGCTTCTATATTTAATTTCATCTATGGCTACACTATATGCAGCATTAACAGCTACTAGCTACATGTGGCTATCAACCTCTTCAAATGCAGCTTGCCTGAGTGAGATATGCTGTAAGTGTAAAATACCCACTAGACTTCAAAGTCTTTTAGTAAAAAAGCCAAGTGTAAAATACTCAATTAATAATTTTTATATGGATTGCATGTTGAAATAATGTTCTGGGATAAAAAAAGGCAAGATTACAATTTTTCCTAATATACCGAGTTACTGTAATATATTTCTGGTTATCAAAAATATACTTATAGGCTGGGGATATAGCTCAGTGGTACCAGGCCTGCCTCACAAACTCAAGGTATTTGAGTACCAAAAACAAAGCAAAACAAAAACCACTTGTAGCTTTGGTATTTTGAATTGATGAATATTCATGATGTTTCGAAAAGTATGACACACACTGTATGATTTCACACAAAATAGCATGTTGTGTATATATAAGCAGGACCTAGGACATATCCAAGCTTTTAACTGAAAATGGCCTTATTTTTTGCCTTTTATGTTTTTGTTTCCTATAATTCACATACTAACTTTTTAAAAAATAAAGATTTATTGAGGCCACACTCAAGTGAAATAAATAGGACACACATGTAAATACTGAATAGTTTCTTTGGTGTGAGAAACTAAAAGTTTAAATGAGGGTCAAAATATGTAATAGATACTAGAAAAGGTCCAAAGGGGAAGAGGAAGCGGAAATGAGAGGAGGAGGGAAAGAAAATATTTCTATGAGAAACAGAAACAAGTCTTTGTAAATAGGGAGGAGTGCAAGGGTTGGAAGACAGGGGAATGCAGAAAAAAATAAGAACCAAGATATATCATGTAAAGATAAAAATTCCCAATGATAAATGTTATCATATTATATACCTAAAATGTACCAATAAATTTATTTCATAAAACATTAAATTTAATTTCACCTGTTTTAAAGTTTTCAAGGTGGCTACTAACAAATTTAAAATTATTTATGTGGTTTACATTATATTCCACTGGAAAAAACTGATCTAGAGGTTTGATAAGTACTAGCTTTATTTTCTTCTAATTTTCAGACAATTTAATTGCCTTTATTTGGTTCTCAAATGCACTTAAACCTCTGGAGAGGAGTCAAAGATATTTATTTTTCCCCAAGAGTTAATTTGCTAAATTTAAGGTATTTCCTTTAGCACACAATATACTCCTTTGTGCTGTGACCATAAACCATGATATTAGCAACTCGGCTGAATTAATAAATGCCTACAAGATTAGAAAGCACAACAGTTCTAGGTGTATCAATGGGTGTTTTCAAAGATGACTGGTATGCAGATTAGCAAAGTGAGAGAAGGAAAACCACCACAGTTGTGGTTGGCACCAACCAACAGGCTTGTATACTGGATAGAAGAAAAGAGAAAGGAGGAAGCTGGTGCAGGGTTGAAGAGCTTCCTTCTGTTGAGGCGTCTTTTGCTGCTGTTGCACATGAACATCATTATCCAGTTTCAACACCCTTCCAACAGATTCATACCAGTGGCTCTCCAGGGAGCTTCCTGGCCTTTGGTCTTGGACTGGTATTATACCTTTGGTCTCTCTGGTTCTGCAGCTTCCAGCTTCTTACATTGAGGAGGTGCTAGATCCTCTAGCCCTCCAGCACACAGATGGCCATTTTAGACTCTCCCATTTCTGATTACATAAGCCTATCTAATAAACTCCCTTGCATAATTATATGTGTGATCAAAAATATGGTGAATGTTTAAATTTTAAAAAATTTATTACAGTGAAAGACATATTGCCATTAATTCTTCAAAATACTCCACCTTTCTTTGAACACACTGCTCCCATTGTACTTGCTACTTTCTGAAGCACTTTTGGAAGTCTTCTTTTGTGAACGTCTTTAGTTGTGTTGTCATGGTTACCTCAATGTCCTGAAGTCATTCTGTTATGGTTTATATCTAAAATGTCTCCCAAAGCCTCTCATTGATGGGGCTTTTGGGAGGTGACTAGGTCATGGGTATGTAATACTCATCACTGGAGTAGTCCACTAATGGGTTTATAGTTGAGTGTGAAGTTAGAAGGTAAAGCTTGGCAGGAGGAGTTGTATCGCTGTGGGTGTGGCCTAGAGGGGCATATATTTATTTATATACTGTTTATCCTCTTCCTCCTGTGATCCTTCTCTCTGCTTCCTGGCTGCCATGTCTACTAATAATTTAAAAGCTCATTTTTTAACCTAAAAAATTTAGCTCTTTCTTCATCTGATCTTTAGGAGAGTGTTCAATGAATAGAATAGTATCATCCTTCTGGCATTCCAGGTTATAGTTGGTATTTCTTTACTTATGTACTCATGTCTGATACAATCTACTCTAATCCAGTCAAATATACCATCTTCATTCCTTCCTCCTACCTCTACTCATTTGCTGTGCAGTTTCCTCAGAGAAAATTATAAAATAATGAAACTAATTTTCTGAATAAACATTCAAGCACATACAAATGTAAAATAGTGCTATTCTCATCTGAATGGGTTAGGTGAGGAACAAAAAGGCATTATTTATTAAGAAGAAAAGCTTTGGAGCTGGGTGTGGTAGTGCATGCCTGTAATCCCACCATTCTGGGAGGGTAAAGCAAGAGGATGGCAAGTTCAAGTCCTGCCTTGTAATGACTTACAAGACCCTGTCTCAAACATTAAAAAAGGCTAGGAACATAGCTCAGTGCAAAGGCCCTGCGTTCTAACCCCAGTACCAGAAAAAAAAAAAAAAAAAAAAAAAAAAAAA